AGTGCTGGGGCTGCTTGCCGACTAGCCCTACATTGAAGCACCCTCATGCCCCAGCCAGCCTTTCCTGCAGCACATTGAGCCTAGTCAAAGCAGCTCTGGGTTGGCAGGCTGACCCCCAGCAAAATGTGCTGTGGTAAAGGCCTACATGCAGCTGCACTCTCAGGAGCTTCCTGGAAGCAAAAAACTGCAGAGAAATAAGCTTTGCAGTTGATTGCTGCCCTCTAATGGCACATGTCGATGGACCCACAGAGAACTAATAGAATGATTATTTTTTCAGTTGCCCTCTGTAACTATAAACCCTGTTGTATAACAGTGGCATTTGGGTCTACTAATAAACTATTCACTTTTTTCCATTGCCAGGTCTATAGCATATGAAAGAGTAGAATGTATGTGTGTAAGCTAAGGTTTATTTTCTTTGTTTATATAAATTAAGTTTGTAGAATCTGCCAGAACTATCTCCTGATCAAATGTCTTGTCTGCTTCCACATTTGTCTTTTACTGCCATATCCTTCCATCAATAAAATGCCCACTTTTAATATTTCAACAGCTTTTGGGGGAAGAAAATGGTTTTTTATTGTCAATTATCCTCACTCTGAACTCACCTGTGTCTTGAGCCAAATAGGTCATGCCCAGGTTCCCAATGTGTTTTCTGCTGATGCTGCTTGCTGTGCCTGTTTCACCCTCCATTGGTCTCCATTGTGTTGTAAGTGTGATTCAGCTTTCACCTTGGCTTGTCTTACCATTTATTTCTGATTAGATCTTCCTCTTAGCATTCAAGCCTTCCTTCCCAGCATGTTACCCTTTCCATTCTTGTGATGCCACGTGTATCTTGTATCACTGTGCCAACTTGCCAAGGTTAAGCTTCTGCCTTGTCACCGGGTGAGTAACCATGTCTCATCACCATATGGCATGTTGCACAAGATGCAGAAAACAAAGGCGGTGTTTGCTCTTCGTGCTGCCTTTTAACTCTCTGCAAGCCAATGCCCCACCCCAGTTTTTCTGTTCAGTACAACCATTCTGTCTTCTCTCTGCAAGCCTCTTCTGGCCTGCTTATTTAGTCACGCTCCACTGTAATGCCTGGAAAGAGAGAACTTCAAATGTTCATATAAACAAACACATTACCCCCCTGAACAACCATAAGATCTGCATGGCTATCAGGGTAGGGGATATGCCATGCTAAGTGCTCAAGAAATTCCTTTATCTGTCACCAGAGGCAAAGACTTTTGTGGGTGATGTCTTTTACTGGACCAGTTGCATGATTGGGATAAAGTTAGACAAGCTTTTAAATGCAAGGCTTTCTTCATCAGGTCACCCTCATTTATCTGTCACCCTCATTCATATTGCATAGGACATTGTGCCATTAGTAGTTCCACCAATTCCAGTGGGACTAGTCATGGTACGGCTTCCTGTGAGTAAGTATATCACATCTGCCTCTCATTTTAGCAGATGAAAAAAGAGCTTGAAATCGCCACCACCTCTCCTTCCAAGATTCTTTTGCTTTTAAAAAAGGCATAAATTACTTAATGGTTTGAAGGAGAAATGTGGTTCTGGTACCAACATTTGTGTGTTGGGATTCTGGCCAATGCAATATTATAAGAGAAATAGAAAAGATGGGTCCAGGTTTTACATTCTGATTTGCATCCTTTTTATTGTCATTGAAACCATATTAGAACTTGTAGATCCCCCAAAAAACAGAGGCTGTATTGTGGCCAAGTACAACTATGTAGTAAGAAATCCAAAGAGGTTACATTTGCAAAACATACCACATGTTGGACCCCTTCAGTTGCACAGGGGATCTCTGAAGGGAACATGCGCCTATTCAGGCAGAAGGGTCTGCCTCTGCAGATCAGCATGTAGAACGATGGTCTAAACAGACAAGGCAAGCTAGGGAAGGAAAAAGGCCATACTGGTATCCCCATTTTATAGATGGGGACTTCATGCATGCCCCATTCCTAGTGCTGCAGCATTTGTCGCACACATTACAGGAGCATGTTTAATAAATACACATGCACATGCCCATGCATCTGTGTATGTTCAGACACACTCATTTTTAATTAATAAAACAATTACTATTTTTAGGATGCATAAAACTACCTCAAAACAACAACAACAAAAAATAACAACAGCAACCCTGCCCCCTTCTCATGACCTAAATAACCTGGCTGTAAATTGGTACCATTAACCCATGCACTGCAAGTGTATCTTGATAAGTTTGATTTACACCCTTTAAGATACAGCAGTGTGGATTTAGGATTCTGTTTTCCGCTGTGTAAAAAATAGATGTTGGATCCAGAGCCCATTTAAACTCCAAGAGGGCCTTTCCATTGACTGTAGTAGTTACTGGATCAGGCTTAGTATGAACTGCTTTTTCAAAAGAATATATGACTCTCTCTCACTTTATTTGAGAACTAACCATGTCCCTCTCGTCTTGTTTCCAAGGTGATAGTCTGGGGAAACTATGGACGCATGGAGCGCAAACACTTCATGGGAGTAGCCAGGGTTCTCTTGGAAGAACTGGATTTGTCAACCTTAGCCATTGGCTGGTACAAGCTTTTCCCGACCTCCTCAATGGTAGATCCCACTACCGGTCCACTCCTACGCCAGTCCTCACAGCTTTCTCTGGAGAGCACGGTGGGACCTTGCTGTGACAGGTCTTAATGAGTAAGGAAAGGGGAACTGCTTCTGTTTTTTAAACATGCTGTCAAGGTTTTGTTTGCTGGAACTCTGACCTCAAGTGCGGTGCATGTTCAATCAGTTCTTATGGAGCTGGAAGAGGAGGATAACCCAGTGACCTTAGACAGAAGACAAGGGAGAGGGCAGTGCAATCTTCTCCATCTAAGTTGGAGGTGCCATGGGGCATGAGTCCTAGTTGTCAGTTATCCATACCCCCCATGTTTAACTTCTCTCACAATCATTCTGGCACCCTTATTACCATTTACCTTAGAAAGTCACAGCATCATTTTTTTGAGCAGGGAAGGTATTTTTCTTAACTTTGTACTTTATGAATTTCCAAACCAGACTTTTCTGGCATTGCCTGAAAGGTTCAGATGCAAAAATCTGATCAGAAGAGAGCAGGGATGGCAAGCTTTTATGGGAGCTTTGTGTTTTTTATACAATCTTTCTCCTTAAAAATGAATAATAAAAAAGGAACTCTTTCTTTAGAGTAAATTCTACATCAAAGAATCATGTTAGTTGTAAAACAATTGTTGGTTTGTTTTTAAACTGTGCCAAATTACCAGCAAGTGTCTTTAATACATTCTTGGCTAACACTGCTGATGAAGCATATTTGATAGGAAAATGAATAGAGCATACTTTACTAAGACCAGACAGTTCTAAGGGAGGCACTTAGCACGATAATTAGCTGCAATTTTGCTCAGAGAAACACTGAAAGTGGGAGCTGAACATCAGACTTTCAGTTTGCGATGTGGTTTACTAGCACGTTGTCAGATAAAACATTCCACAGTTTGCAAACTCCTTCCTTTTTGCCATGCATCCCTCACTCTACCTTCTGCGTTCTGTCCATCTTTTCTGTGTACTGGTACATATCTTATAAAGTGCTACCCTTCTTCTGCCAACATGTCATGCTGTGAGCTAACTGGAAATAATAGTTTTATTCAATGACAGGAAAGGGTGTGATATTTCTGGGAGCGCAGCAAAGAGAAACTCAACTTTTCATCTTGTAAGGGGTTCTAGAGAGGGACTCAACTTGTCCCCTTCCATGCTTAAAGAAGGTGGAGTTGCCCAAGGCGACCCTGTTAATACACAAGCATTGTTAGGTGAATTGAAAGAGGAGGACACTTTTCCCAGAGTGCAGAAAGAGGTGGTGGCTGGGGAATCTAAGAGATGCTCTAGTCATAACATATATATTTTTTGCTTAACGACAGCAACAGAGGACATCCATTGCTAGCTGTAAGTAAATGCAGGTTAACCCTGTAATGTATATTCTGTGAGCTGCTGAGCAGACAGTAGCTGCTGTTAAAGAGAGTCATATATACTAGAGCAGTGGGGGTAATGCGCTATTTGTATTAGGTTGTTCAGGTGATACAAAATCTTATGCTTGGAAACACCCATTCCCCAAAGCCAAGGAGAATTTTTTTAGAAGGCTGACAGATTTCATGGGGTTCTCTTCATGTGGGCCTTTCTGCTAGATTTCTTGTCATAATTTTGAATGAAGATTTTGTGGCTGGTGCCTCAAAGTAGGTGCAAGGAAGTATTTTGTTTTGTGATTTAAGAAGCCGAGGTCCTATGTAATGCTCAGGAACCAGCAAATTCCTGACTTGTCATTGAAACGCACTGGATGTGTCAACATGTGGACCACAAATATGTCAGAATATAAGCATGAAGTTTTATAGGATGGAAAAAGTGCTTGTGGTGATTGCTTGTCTGTGGCATTTTAAATTTATTTTGAAGCAATTACAGAATAGGTGCAAAAATAATGGACCCAACAACGAGCTCTGTAAAAACTGATATAACATAAAAGGGGAAAGGGACATAAACCTAAGAATTTTAAGAGTCTCAGGATAGTAAAGTTTCAACATTTCAGTCCACTCTCTTAATTTCTTTGGTAAACTATGTCTCTGGCCTCACTCTAATTATTTTTTCCTAATTGTATTAGACAATTTCTGTATATTAGCTGACAAAAGTTTGTTGCATGCTGGTCAAACTATGTTGTGACTCTTTTTTTTTAAAAAAAAAAAGCACATTAACTGTAATTCAAGTCAACACCTTTTCCTCTTGGTATGTAGTAAGTACTAGGCAATATTGTACAATATGTGTATGAACTAGAATAGATTAGGTAGATTTAGTGGTTTGTAGCACTGGATCTTTTAATAACTATGTCTTTAAAAGGACTGTGGGAAAATACAAATACATTCCAAGCCTGATAACTGAATGGCAGGGGTCCTATATTCAGTTATTTAGAAAACTTTTTATCGGTATATGGTTTGGACATTATCTACCTGTATATCTAGTTAGTCACATTTTACCTATGTTCATTAGTATGTATGCAACTTTTTGAAACCTTTAATTAGGAGTTGGGGGATGATATACACCAAATTAAGTACCTTCAAGAAATCTCCTTTTGGGACTGGCTGTTGGAGAGCTTTGATCCTCCGTGAACAGGAAATTCCACAGGTTTTTTGTCCCCCTCTCCAAAAACTTTGCAAGCTCAATGTGATCAGTTTAGTTAAAAATAGGACTTATACAACTTTGACTGTCTTGTCCATGTTTTTTATTACATTAAAAGGTCCTTGTCATGTTAAATTCTTATTCTATAAATTGTATTTCCTCTCATGTGTTATTTTATTAACACCTGATATTATGTAAACTGAAACTAGTTTTTACCTTCTGTTTGATGCTGTGTTGTTTATCTTCTGTTGCTCTGGCATCAGGATAGTAGGCTAGTAAATCTGCTTCTGTTTCTTGTCAGTTTCACTTCCTGTTTCTTATGGACTAAGTCAATGTTGCAGTGTCTGGTTCCATACACTGTCGGTCATACTTAGAGGCAAATAAAATTTTTTCACTGAGATTAAAACAAAGCAGAACAAAATCACAGCAACTCTTCTAATGACTCATGCAGGCATAGAGATGAAGGGCAGGCCAGGTCCTTACAATCATAGTCCAAACTTCTCCATTTCTCAGGCTATAGAAGCTCACACAGTGGCTTCTGCATTTAACTCAGTAACTTTGGGTAGAAGTAAAGGAAATATTTTCTAACCCCCAGTTTTTAAATAAAGACTCCAAATGATAGAAAGTCCAAGCAGGGTCTTAGGCTTAGAAAAGCTTTTTTGTGCCAGACCTAACTTTTTCATTCAACTCCAAGATAAGATGATGTGGTAGCTCTAGCTTCTGCTCTGGTCAATTAGAGTTTGTAAAGTAGCAGTTTTCTTGAGCAGTTAGCATCTGAAATGTGAACTTTGGTCTTACTTTTAAAAGGGCAAAACACTTGTTTTGTGTTTAAATCTAGGTGTTAGTTATTATTATTCTTTGTTTTTTTAAGAAAAAGGAGTGGTACATATGTGATGTGCGAGTAAAGAGGACTGAGTATGGGGACTAGTTAGTGTCTGCCCAAGGCAAGGCTGATTCTCCATTTCTTACATTCCAAAAGCTACACTTAATCCTAATGGGAGGCTTGGTTACAAATGCAATGAAGGCTCAGTCTGTGGATATTAATTTATTTGTTGTCTATACTTTTTTCAATGAGAGGATGGTGATGACCACATCGCTGAGGACAAAATTATCTTTTCCCACTGATAATTCTATGAACACAAGAAGAACAGAATATTAGAAGTGAGAGAATTGTTCTGTTAGTAAGCTGCACAAACAGAAGCCATGTTGGGCAAAAAATCTGATTTTCCATCCTCCTGGTGTTGCTTTCCTTTCTCTCAACCCATTTGGCATGATATAGAGACAAAACAAGGTCCCCATCCTGTGACTGAATCAGTAGAGACAGACCAAGGGAACCTCCACAGACCCAAGGCATTAGGGTTTAGTCTCTGCAAGTCTATCTGGAAGATCAGGGCAAGGGAAACCTTGGCCTGATCCTGGCTCAAAAAGTGTATCCCAACTTCACAGCAAAGGAATTTTTAGGGAGGTCACTGAACTCTTGGGCTGTATATATTTAAAGTTTTTAAATACTGGATCCTTTATCAATCTAGTGTTCCAAAATCATAGGTCTTCTGGAGTCAGGACATTACAAGTTTCTCTATAATGTTGAGGCAGTTAGCAGAACCTCATCCTAAGCGTGGTTGGTAATGGGTAGACAGCAAGACAACTTTTTTATTAAATTCATTTTGAGTTAGTTTATTACATGCTATTATTAATATTTTAAAACAGGATAAATATTTTTTCTTTAAAAACAAGATAGCATATGTTTTTTAACAGATGACATGATTTAGCATTTTCAAAAGCATTTAATGCTTTGGGTATGAAGTTTACTCATTCTTCTGATTTTATATGTTCTTTGTTATATTTTGTCAACATTTTTTCCAAAAATGAACAGGCATCTGTAAATAACAACCAGAAAAGAGTCCTATAGAAAGTTCTGTTGAAACTGATCATTAAATTATTATTAAAATATTTGTTGGCATTCATTAAATCTCAGCTACTATCCAAGCCTTTGTTGAAGAACTTGATGTTGTATTTTCAAGATGAAAACTACTTAGCTAGTTTTGTCATAATTCTGTATTCTGTATAAAAATCTTTTTATAAAGAAAGTCTAATAGGCTAACAAGCAATAATATATTCCATTTGGTGTGCACAGATTGTGACTTGCAGGCTGTAGTACATATTGTTGATAAAGTATATAGTTGTCTTCATTCTTAATGACATCACTTTTGAAAAGAACCATATTAACTTTGAAGGTATGGTTAAGAAAATGAAGATGGGGCTATTGCCATGTGAGAAACTTTCATTATGATATAGACTTGCCCATCAACATGAGATATCTTAGGTTATGAATGCAACACAGCTGTAGGTAACTCAAACTACAGCTTTAATAATAGTTTCAGTGTAAACTTCATGACTGTTTCAGTCTCCCTGATGTTCTTAGGCAATTCAGTATTTGTAGTTTGATAAGGTTTTCCCACTGCCACTGCAGCGCCTCAGACTGTGAAAAACTTTGCATTCTGGGGTCATGCCAATTCTGCCCTCCAGCTGTGGTTCTCTTTAGGATACCACAGGCAAACTAAAGGCAGATTTTACTGAGTGGCATGCTGAGCTGCTCATTAAAGCTTTTGTGGGGGGTTTTTGTCCATTCCACAGATGGCGTTTTGTCATTACAAAAAATCCACCCAAGATGGAGATAAACACAACTTTGTAAAGTGTAACGTGGGATAATGCATAAGCCAGTGACAGTCCCATGCAGTTCCACAGAAAGTTAGATAATGCTGGGTTCATTTAAAGACCATTTTAACATGGCAGGACCAGACGATAATTTAGATTTTAAGACTGTTTTAGTATTACAACACACAATGTATATTCAGGATGCAATGAGTAAAATAAAATGTAGGTCTTGCAATGAGTTTGGATGCTCCTCCATGTGAGTTCCCCCATGTATCAAGGAGTCTATAGAGAAATCCTCATGTTGATTTCAAATTTACTAAGCTCTTGGCCAGGTCTACAATGACATGCTGGGCAGAATAATATAGCTGAATAAACTATCATACATTAACCCCAGTGTGACAGACTAGAATATTTATACTGTCAATAACTGAATATACTTTGGTAATAAGAAGATTGGTAGCTGACAAGCCTGTGTCTATTATCTTGGACTCCAACTGAACTAAGCTATGAAATATATGTAGTCCCGCTTCTCCTAATGGGATTATAGGTGGCTTCAACCTCCAACAACATGGCCACTATCTTGTTAACTTGTCAAATCCCCATCTATGCCTCACCCCTACATGACCAGCACCAACATAAAAATGAGACTTCAGGCAGCAACAGAAAATTCCACTCCCTCCCAACACGCACACAACCTTGGCAGCAGTGTCTTTTTCCCAGGGAATCTCAAACTTTTCTTCAAAGCATGAATGCTTCTTAATGGAGAGGTTGTCTTGAGGTCTTGCCCTCCCATTAACGATGGCTCAGAGGCAAATCTCCTTGCTTTGAAATACAATCTCTCCTTGGTTGCTACTGTCATCCCTTACTGAGTAGACAATTTCTTCCAGCTTGAGCTTCTTCTAGGGCAATATATAGCAGCTGAAAACAAGGAGGAGGAGAGAAGCCTGCCAGTTCTCAGCCAGTTCTCTACGCAGCACCAGCAAATGCAGCTTAGGACCTGTGTCTTCATCACTTTCCAGAGCTGTAACATGAAACAGACTTCTGCAGCCCAAATATTCAGAATTTGCCTTTCTGTAGCAAGTTGCGTGCCTTGGGAGCTGTGACACAGCCTCATCTGTGAGGAAAGGGATTACTTGAGTCCTGGCCACTGAGCAATAAGTGGTTAGGAGAGAAAACCAATCAGAAGGCCCATTTGGAATAAATCCCAGTCTTTATTCATGCAAATTCCCACTAAAACCAAGCTGAGTTGGCTGAATAATAACTGCAGCACTAAGCCTTAAGGGCCAGGTTTTAAAATGGGTTTCAGTGCCTAAAGATTTAGAGAGGTTCAGACTGAGATTCTCAGCAGTACTTTAGAATATCCCACCAGATGCCTATCTGAAGGTCTAGGTGCCTAAATACCTTTACAGTTTTGTCAGATGAGTTATTACTGTTTGATCCGTCATAACCTTTCACTTCTCCATTTCCACAAATCTGTCTTCTCAAGTGGAGTGTGTCATTTTGAGATATTTAGAGAAAAAAAAAGAGTTTGGGTGATAGACACCAAGCCCTCGCCTTTTCTATTAGCTGGATGGTGACACACCATGGAGTCATGCCCAGTTCTCATTCCATAAGGGAAGAAACAGTAGGCAAAAAAAAAATCAGCAGGTGAATCAAGCTACATCCCCACAGGGATTGCTCTGATCCTGAGATGAGGGTGGGGAGAGTGCATGGCAGAAAGGACTGGCTGTTTAGGCAGCTCTCCAGTTTGAGTTGTAACGGAATCGTGGGCATGGACAATCGCATTGTTGAACTAGCCAGCACTAAGGACAGTGCCATAAGCTGCCACCTGCTTAGATGCAAAACTCCCAGCCATTTTCGTGACAGCTTTGCCTCCAGATCAATGGCAGGCTTTTCCCCTAGGAGGAGCTTCTAGCAAGGATAGAGCAGAATCTGTGGCCTCAAATTCCAGACAGACTATCAAAGTTAGAGTAGACGGGATCAGGAGGGGAGCGCTCCCCCTACCAGCAATAGGGCAAGGGCAGCTCTCCCTTCAAGCTTCTCTGTTCCACTCCTCTTGCCTCTCCCTCAGCCAGTTCTCTCCTTTCGATAGGATTTTTCCTCCTCGAGGTCCCAGTTTTATTTCAAATGACAGAGATTGGAGGCTGATCTTGGCCCCAGGTAGGTGCCACTGGGCTGACGTATTCCATTCTCCTGGGGCCACTACTGCATCCAGACACTGCTGAGAAGTGAGACCAAGTCAGCATGGGGTTGAGCCCATCAACAACCATCCTTGACCTAAGCTGCAGCTCCTTTGAGACTTTCCGCATCACCCATGCCATTATGCAGGGCAGGGCTGGTGATGACACCCATCTCTGTCTTCTCTAGCATTTCTACCATAGTGCACCTACTTTCTGTCCTGTGTGGAAAAGTAGCTACCAAACTCCTTAGTATAGATGCACACTCAAGACCTGGTCCTGCTGCAGCTGCTAAACAAATTGGCCACTTGATCTCTGGGGGACCATTCACATCAGGATTATCCACAGGAATAAGTGCTGCAAAGCCTGGTCCTTAATCTGGGATTAAGGTTTAAATTACCTCGAGGTAGCATTGTGCAAGTCTCCGAAGAACCCAGCATTCTCTGTTTATAACCAGCAAGGAACTGCTGCATTCCTAGAGCATGACAACCTGACTGTTGTCCAGTCTGATCTTCTTTGGTTTCCACTTGGCATCTCTGTGGCTTGATCAGTACCCGGGTTGTCGTGCTGGTGCTCTCACTGTCACAAGAAAAACTGCTTTAGTTGGACAGAGACCATTTTTACTTATTTGCCACTCTCCTTACATTATGGCATTCACGGGGGAGACTGTCAAAGGGCCAAGTGGCAGCAAAATGCCTAACTCCTGTTGGCTCTTAGAGGCAGGCATCCCCAGTTGACACTTGAGCCACTAGAACGTTCCTCTGTATTTTCATGCATGACTCGGCTAAATCTCATGCATGACTGCATTGCAGGAGATGTGCAAACACACATGATCACCTCTCAGTGACCAGGAGGCTGGCATCCCAGTTCTCCAGGAGTCACAGGAGCACTGCCCCCACAGTGAATCACTTGCAAGGTGTGTGGACTCCCTTGGGTGGAAACCTTTGGAGCAGATCGCTCCATCCATATCGCACTGTAGTCCGTGAAGCGTGGTGTGACCCGGCGCGCCATGCATAGCGCCGTTTGTGGGCTAGTTGTCTGTATTTAAAGGAGGGTTCTGCTGTACTTTTTTCCTGTCTGTAGGTTTTATTCAGCCAATGTGTGACGATTGAGTGATTTACAATTCAGTGTTCAGCTAATGACAATGTTGATAATGGTGATAATAAACCCTTTTTTTTTCTTAAATCAGATTCAAGGATTTTCATTGAATATGTCCATTACCTATCATAATCCATGTCCTGGCCACTGAGGTTTTGCCGGCCCAGAGTTTCAAATTGCCCATTTGTTCTCCCACTAAACACTTTAATTGTCTACATAATTGCATATGAACACGAAGTCCACCACTTCCCAGGGCTTGGAATCATTGCAGGTGATGAGCTTAGGACACTGCTGATGCCCTGTCTCAGGTAGAAATTGCCCCATACACTGCTTCCCTATCTAATCAGGTCTTGAACAACTCTGGCAATAGGGCCATACATAATACTAATAGCTTGCTGCCTGAAATCACCT